GTGTTACAGGTCCAATTCACTTAATCGTCATTCCTAACATGAACTATTCTGATTCGTTTATTTTTTTTCATTTATTAATTAATATGGTGTACCTCATTTTTCTTTTTGTATTTTGTTAGGATAAATGTAAGATAAATGTATAAAAATGTATATATATTTTTAATTTAGTGACAATTTATTCTTTATCTACTTACGTGCATACCACGTACACTTTGAGTAGTAAATAAATAAAACCCTAAAACTACAAAGAAAACTAATACCATAAAAGAAACTAATTATTTAAGTAAACTAAATATATAAACAACATTACCTAAAACTAACATTTCTCTCTCAAAATTATAAAATAGAAATAAATAAAAATCTTATTTAATAAAATATTAAAATATATCCTACATTAGTCTCCCCACTTCAAAAAAAAAAAAAAAAAAAAAAAAAAAAAAAAAAAAAAAACAAAACACTCGTCCTAGAGTTTTCTTTCGACTAATCATATATTAATATAAACAAAATTTTATACCACTGGCTTCATCTTATACCAAACTTCTTCAATTGCAATACCGAAAATTTAGAGACTTTGAAAATTCTTTGTTTTATCATTAACAATGGTAGTCTCCAGACTTGCTACCTCACCAATTAATGAACCCTTCCACAACTCCTCAACATTTAATTTGGAAATTTTATCAATGGGATCTTCACCTGAACCAACGGAAGTTGAATTGATGTTAATGCCCTAGGTCGGTTGGGTTATTTATTTTACGCGCCTTTCCTACTTTCTCTCAATGGGCCCACTTTCTTTCACTGGATTCATAGTAAGGAGAGTGCTAAAGTTAGGTCCACCATCATCGATATGTTAATTCGTAGTTTTTTTTTTTTTTTAGAATGGTAAAGCAAACACACATACACTTTTTTGCCCACGTCCGGGCTCGAACTCCTTCCCTCTTCTTTGTTAATTCTTAGTTGCTCCTATGAATATAAGTAGCAAAGGACTATTTAAAAAAGACCATATGAATTTGAGAACAAGTCGTCCTAATTAACTCAAATTCCATTATCTTTTATTTTATATTTTTAATTTTACACTGAATTTAGTGAAACGTACAATATTAACCTTAATGCTTTAGTTTAAACTAAAAAGAAGAATAATATTCCCCTTCAAAATGAACTAATTGCATTGCAATTACCTTTTCCTAAGCATTACAACATCAGCCACAGTTGCAGAAGGTTTGGTATTGCGTGTTGCCCTTCAAGCGCGCTTGGATTGGAATTTGTCAAACACAGTTGTGGAAGGTGACTGTAAATCAGTTATGGAGCTCAATCCGACAGAGGAAGCTATGAATGTGATTATTGATGATTGTAAGTTTTTGCTCGATAAAGGAAACAATATCTCTCTAAAATGGACCACAAGGTCGGGTAATGGGTCAGCACATGCAGTGTGCAAAATGGCCCCATTCTCATGGGATAAGTTGATATGTTGGGATTCAATCCCTAGTTCTGTCTCAAAGGCTCTGTTTACAAATGCCTGTTTTGTTTTGTAGTTTTGTTTGTATGGTGGCTTCTGTTAAAAAATAAACATACGGTGTGTATTTATCAATACTGACACTAAAGTATGATTTTAGATATTAATTGCTTTATCTTGGCTTTATTCTTAGAACACATGGACAAAAAGTGAACTTATTACATGACTTGTTTGGCGATAAATTTAATTTATTCCAAGGTTTTGTTGTCAAATCCATAAAAAATAAAAATGAATAAATAATAAAAAAAAAATGACAGAAAGGATGTTGGTGTACTCTATGTTCATCTATTAAAAAATAAAAAATGGCAGAAAGGATGTTGGTGTACTCTATGTTCAGCTATTCAAAAGTTCAATACCTTGGGAAGAAAAATAGAAATTTGCTAAAAGGATGTTTGGCAATCCTTTTTACAGTATCACATTTACTTTAAAAGAAGGAAAAAATTAATTGAAAAATAAATTTTGTTTCACTTATTTTTTCTATTGTCACTATAGGTCGGGATTTTTATTTTTAACAAATAAAAACCCAATAAAATATAAATAAAAAGAAAATTTTACAAATCTCGAAGAATTTTTTTCTTCTTCACTTCGAAACCTTATACAATAAATTTAGTTATCAAACATGTTAAATTACACAATATAGTTTTTGTTTTATATGGAATAGAAAATACTAAACAAAAACATTGTACAAAAAACAGAGGAGGGGGGGTAAAACAACCCAAGAGGGACTACCTATCAACTTACTTTTTTAGCTAATTGATTTAATTTCCTTTTGGTTTTTCCAATTATACATGAAGTACTATCAATAAGTTGTCTCATTAATTATATGTATATATTGAAAATTGTTGTAAAAATTGATATGGAGTCCACATATTAAATGTTGTGCACCAATTATATGAGTTATGCGTGGAAAGCTATTTGGAGGCGTGATTGGTAAACAAGAGATAAGGGGAAAGGCACAGGAAAGTTTGAGTAAAAAATTTGTGTATAAATATGTGTGTGATGTTTTGAGTTAGACACACCGACAAGAGAAAATAATAAAAAACTCCTCTCTTCTCGTTCCTTCTAATCTCTTGTGTAATATATTTCTTACACTGTATTTGTTCTATATTTATAAAAAAATAAAAAATAAAAAATAAAAAAATAAAAAATAAAAATAATAATAATAATAATAATAATAATAATAATAACCTCTATCAATTCTTCACTTATGGACTCTTTTCTATTGGCAAGTAACGACCATTTATGTTGCATCCTAATATTGGGTTTTGTTTTCCCTGGGTTTTGGGTTGGGCCTATGTGCCTTTATATTTGAGGTTAGCTTGGGGTAATTATGTTTATATTTATAATATTGAATTTTACCTTTCAAAAAAAAAAAAAAAAAAAAAAAAATTTAAAAATACAGTGAACCTCTTTGATAAAGTCAGACTCTTAGCTTTTATCTTTTTCCTTTACTTATAAAATCAGATTATTGTAGGAGTTCTATTTTTATACTCCTATTGTGCAAAATTTGTACATAACGAAATTGATTTATGTGAACACTTTAGATAAATAATCAATATAACAATGAATTTATTCATGCCTTTAGAGTAGTCACAACATAGGTGAAGTGCAAAAACACACCTATCAATGATGTGTTTTACCCTACCAATGAAAATACATTAGAAGTGAGACTAATATCGTATTTAAATACTAATATCTTTTCTGGTATACAATCGCGGGATACACACGTGTAAATATTGAGGATGAAAGATTAGCAATTAAATTGACCACTAGAAGGCCAAAATGATACTAAAAAATAACCACCTGGCCGGAGAGAACATTGCAGTACTTGATGGCTTAGGTCCCAAGTTGGCCGGTGGAAGACAATCATCCTTTATATAGTCAATGAAGCATTTATCGTCCTGACCTACGACAGGGTCTGAGCATCCAATAGCGCAATTAACTTCGCACGATCCAGATGTAGCTGCTGAATGCTCTATGAGCATCAATATCACCAGCACCGCCATCAAAATATTTACTTTCTTTTCCATATTAAGTTTGAATGGAGGAGAACAAAATTCAAGCTTTGTGCTACTATAACATTATTACAAAAATAATTGAGGGTTATTTAAACCACAACACAAGATATATACGTGGTTCACCCAAAATCAGGGTTACATACACGGATGAGAAGATATTCACTATATATGTAGAGATATTACAATAGTAGAGAATTTCAACACTGGACCATGCACACAACTCTTGACCGAGTTCTCCGGTATTCCACGAGACTCCCTTTCGCCATCAGTGTTCACTCTACCAAACCCGTAACTCACCCCTACCATCAACGTACTCCCTCATGAGGCTACATCTCTCTCAACTTATAACTCTCAACAATAACCTAAGTGTCTATTTATAGTGTCACATACCTAATTCCTTTGTGGATAAGGATTATAATTTCTTAGAGCCCAATTCACGTCTCTATAAGAAATTACTATAAAAAATACACTCTAAAATACAAACTAATAATAATGGGGAATTTGAGACATAATTCCTAACAGGTTCACCACAATGGATAGAAACAAAGATCCCAGAAGAAAACGGAGTAAAGAGAGAGAGATGAGTGATTTACGAGAGTAGTGGAGGGTTAAGAGAGGCCTATATAGTAGTAGGGTTAAGGTGAGCTATTGGAGAGTTGAATTGCCATTAATGCCCTAGGTCGGTTGGGTTATTTACTTCGTCTTTCCAACTTTCTCTCAGTGGACCCAGTTAGTAATGAATATATGTCTAATTAGAAGTACGGGGTATATCAACACCATTTATGGTCCGAGGTTCTGCAATTCTTTATATATATATGGTCCCATCGATCAATTTCTTTGTTTGACACACCCTTTAATAAATTACAAAACATACGCCAGAAGAAAAGCAAACAGATCTTCTTAGGTCATTTGCACCAGCCTCTTCAAATTTTGTCTCTTTAAAAATGCCACATCAACTTTTTCAAGAGCCACGTCAGCAATTTCAAGAGCCACGTCAGCAACTTTCGCTCTCCAAAAATACGCACTCCATCAGGCTCTCCGAATTTTCGCTCTTCAAAAATAATAATAATAATAAATTAAAATTAATTTTTTTTTTTTAACTTTTCCTAAACGGCTATATTTTTAACGGCTATATTTTTCATTTTATATAATGAAACTCATTTGCTCATCTAAAAATCATCACTATATTCATTTATCTCCATTGTAACAAAATATCATCATCCATCTTTTTCAATTTCGAAATTCGAATGACTTCGCCATCACAAGCTTTTCCTTTGGCAGACTCTAATTCTTCATCTTCCTCGTCATCCTCTTTGGAAGATGATCCTTTTGGGGCGTTGATTCAACAAGATCAAGACGAATTCTATGAGATTATGAATTCAGTGAAGCCAGAGATAGTTGAGTAAGTATTCCAAGTCCATAAAAATAAGCGGTACATTCATCATGACCGAGAGGGAAGCCACTATCAGCTAATGAAAGACTACTTCGACGAGAATTGCACATATCCACCGGAGTACTTTCACAGGCGATTCAGGATGCGACAAGAACTTTTTCTTCGTATCCTTAATGATGTCAAAGCTTATGGTGACTACTTTGTCCAAAAAAAGGATGCGACTGGTCGTCTGGGGTTGTCTTCTATACAGAAGATGACAACTGCTGTTTGTATACTCGCATATGGTTGTGCAGCCAATCACTATAATGAGTATAGTAAAATTGGCGAGAGCATTGCCATTAAATGCTTGAAGGCATTTTGTAATGTTATTGTTGCTATGTATGCAGAGGAGTATATGCGCTTACCCAACGAAGCCGACATAGCACGGCTGCTCGAAGAAGGGGAGCAGAGAGTGTAATGACCCGGTCATTTTCTCCCTTTCCTTTTTCCTCAGAATTTCACGAATGAATTTTTTTCATTGAAATTTCTTTTCTGAATTCGGTTTCTTGTCACTTAGTGTCGTCTCGAGTGCTCGAAAATGGTTTTTGAGACTCTTTCCCTTGGATTGACAACTTCCTTTGAGGACCGAGTCATTTCCACATTTTTCGTTTTTCGACACTATTCACTTTTCGTCCTTTTCCCTATTTTGTCTTTTCCCCGTTTGTCACTTTGTTGGCAAAACCTCACAACTTGTGTTCGGAGTTAGTTTTTGACTTCACGTATCTTCATTCTCAGTGGTTTTCACGAAATACGTATCTTTACTTTTGTAGGAAAGTACTCTGGTTGCTCCCGGTATCCATAGAGGCATGGATGCAAAGTTCTTCAGAAATATTTTTATTTCTTGGGGTATTTTTCGTAAATATCTTTTGAAGATATTTTATTTCGGGGGTTTTTAAAAAAATATTTTTAGAAGATATTTTGATTCTAGATCAAAGTGCAGTTTTCACTTTTTAGAGGGGCCATTGTGCAATTAACGAAAGTTATTGCAAAAAAACCTTGTTTTGAGTCTGGATTCTCGCACAGGATTCATTTTCACTTTTCGTCGAGTCATGCACTCATAGGATTTCCTTCTGGTTGTTTTTCTCCAGTTTCAGGGTTTTTGGCCCCAGTTGCCGCCGAACTTGTTCGGGGCATATCTCTCTGCTCGGGACTCAATTTTTGACGCCGTTTCTTCCTTTGTTCATATTTTCTCATTTTAAATCTTTTTCGTTCACGGAGTTTCACCGTTTGAGTACGTTTGCTCAAAATTCACTTTTCCGGACCTGGCGGGGCCCTTTTGGGGCACTTTTAGGGTTTTCCTATAAATAGAAGGTCTTAAAGTGAAAAAGCAACTTTTCACCTTCTTCCTCCCTCTTTGGCCGGCAGCCATGGGAGCTCCATGGGGCTGCCACTTTCTCTTTCCTCCTTTGAGCTTCTTCCCTTGGTTAAAAAGTCAAAGCGCCTTTGTGTTTAGTTTAATGCTTGTCTTGGTGATACGCATCTTTCACCCTTATTAGAACCCGTTTTTGGCCAAATTTTGAGTTCGGGTATGAGGTCAAGTTGGGATTTTGGTAGGTCCTCTTTGGAGTTTTATGATCACGGCGTTGTCCCCAACAAAACCCCGAAGTATTATCGGATTCGGAGCCATTTTATTTTGATGGCTTTTGAGATTTCATCTCAAATTGAGGTAGGGGATGTCTTAGGTTTATTTTAATGTTGTATTGACTATTATATATGCATATACAACTTGTGAGCATGCTTTTGTTCAAGTTTTAGAATTTAATTTAATTATTTTCTATGTTTAAGATTTAATTCTTATGAAGGTGTGTACCTTAGAATTAAATTGTGGCATGCTAATAAATTAGGCCTTGGTATGTATGTCAACATATATTAAATTTAGAGCATTTGAATAAGAAATGCAAAAATTTATTTAATATTTATCTTTTGAGAAAGATTAATTCACATAGTTGTATCAAGTATGAAATCAACTTGTAATATGATATTAAAGTAGGCCTTGATGAGTTCTTTAATATATATTAAATTGAAGACATTTGGATATGTTTAAAAATCTAGAGGAAAATTAATTAATTAGCTTAATTAATTTTATTTAAGTGTCGTAGTCACTTAAATTGATTTTTTGTATGATATATGTGAAGACCATGTTGTGACCTTTAACATATATAAATTTGAGCTTATTTGGGATTGATTTAAAATCTAGAGACTTTTCATGATTAGGTTGAAAATCCCTTTTAATGTAGTGAATTTAATTACCTTGTGAGCATATTACTAATTGGATGTAGAATTAGTACTTGGGGCTTCTTAAAATGGTAATTGGACTTAGCATGATATAGAATATCATTGACTTGTAAAGCTTGTTTAAATATATCTTGTGTAGGTATATAGCTTATTTAGAATATTACAATTATTTACCTTGAAAGTTAGTTACTAAATTGAAACTTATTTAGTACTTGTGGCTTAGGATGGTAATGTGACTCAATTGTTGTAAAATATTCTTGCTTTGTGTATAATTGCATATTGGAGACTTGACATGTCATATGCTATTTAGACTTGAATCTTAGGACATGGTTTGTGTGGATTCAACCTTATTTGTATATGGAAGATGGTTTTATGCATAATTGGATTTGATATAAGTTTGGTCTAACTTATTGATTTTGGTATAAGTTTTGAACTTATTGATTTTGGAGAGCTTGTAAGGACATATTTCATGTGATGGCTAGGGTTTGGCTCTAGTACGGAGACAAAAGTCTTCTAAGTCATAAGTGCGCACTAGGTGGTACCTTGTGGGTCGTAATAGCCCGGAATAACTTATGCATGTACGCACTAGGTAGTGCCTTGTGAGTCGTAATTGCTCGAAAACACTTGCTTGGTCTAGTGACCGCATGTCCTAGTCTTTCCACTATTTAATTTCGCATTTAATTTCAAGTTGTTAATCATGGATTACTTGTACCTTGAGAATTGATGCTTACTTTGGATATTTGAATCCTATTTAGTATACTTGAAACTGTATACTTGCTTCGTGTATTTAGATCTTATTTAGTATACTTGAAACTGTATACTTATTTTGTGTAATTAGATCTCATTTAGCATACTTGAACTTGTATCCTTGATTGTGTATCTAAACCCTATTTAGTATACTTGAACTTGTATACTTGCTCCGTGAGTTTAGATTGCATTTAGTATACTTGTGCCATGTATACTTGTCTTATGCGTATTATGTCTAACTTAGTATACTTGTGTTTGTATACCTGATTTATGAGTACTCTATATATATCAAATACTTGTGCATATATGTTAGATATTGATTATCTTGTTTAACATGATTTAAAGTACTTGAACATGTATGCTTGTTTGTCGTGTATCATGTTTTAATATGGTTTGGTGTACTTGAGCATGTATACTTGTATGCCGTTGTTCATTTCAATTGCATGAGTAGCTTAGGATGCTCCCTGAGTCTTATTTGACATAGACGTTTGGTGGCATGAGCCCCTTTGACATGTTTCACCTTAAGGTGATTGTTGCCCAAGTAATGACCGTAGAGGGGGGTGAATAGGGTCATTGGCAAACTATGGAACTTTTTCGATTTAGCTTCTCTAAAATCATTTTATTTGTCTCTATACTTTAAAGCCAAATATGATTCATTGTGATTGAATGCTTTTCTAGTGAGTTGTAGTGTAGATACCACTTAATATTTGGAATGTAAAACAATGAGCTTGTTACACATGAGAAGATTGCTTTTAGCAAATGACAAATTCATTTTGTACATTAAATCATGCTAATTAGTCATGCAACTAAGTGATCATCATTGATTCAAATAAATAAATTCATTTAAGCTTCAATGCATTCAATTCAACTAATCATTTAGAATTAGCATTTGCACAATATTGAAGTGATTAATATTCATGGTGCAAATGTTATGAAAACATTATCATACAAATTTATCAAACACTTGGTGTGCATATAAACTCTAAAGGTGAATGATGTGTTGAATATGCATTTTGTCAAACACTTGGTATGTAATATCATTTTAGCTTTATATGAATCAAATATAGAACATATAGTCTAAGCTAAAATCAATTACTCATTAAACTTAATCCAAGCCTTCATCCAATCCTCCTCATACAATCAATTAAGCTTCACATACTAGTTAATTGATTTATATAACTATTCTACTCAAAATAAACTAAACATTTGATATATGAAGATTGAGTAAATAAATATGCAATCAAATATAAAGAGAGTAGAGATTAGAGAGTAGAGAAAATGCAAACCAAGGGACATATGATGTACATGGTTCAGCACAATCTCGGCCTACGTCCATGCCTTGAGAAAACCTCTCAAGGATTCCACTATGGCTCCTCCTTACGGGTGAAGAGCAAACATTTACATGTTCTTGCTTGCGGGTGAAGAACCGACCTTGTAATGAAGCCATCTTGCTTCTCCTTCTTTTGACGGCTAAGAAGGAACCATTGTTCACTCTTATGGGTGGAGAGCTCTACCAAATCCTCTCATTTGAGAGACACCTTCTTTCTTTTATGGGTTGAGAAAGAGAACCCTTACAATAGCTTAAACAAGCTTTCCCTTGCCAAGAGCACCTCTTGGTCTTCTTCTCTCAAGAATGGATATATAAGGAAGCTTACAATGAATGCCTCTCACATAGACAAATATATAAATTACAGCTCTCATACTTAGAGTTACAAATGAAGTAATCAAATAGAAGTTCAACTCTAAGTTTGCAAGATGAATCACATGAATGATATGTAATGTATTTTAATGGTGATTCCGTGTGTGGACTACTAGAGCAAAAGCTCCACAAGGAAAGGGAGGAACTAGAGCTTGTAGAAGTTCCTTTTAAGAGCCTTAACTTGAAACCAGAAAACCTCAACTCTATTTATAGAGTTTCTAGTGCATCTGATATCAATAGAGCTGTTGGGCACACGGTTCGAAAGGAAATAGCCATTCAGATTCAGATCTGGGCAAGGTTCGGTCGACTGAACTGAAACACCCTTGTGTTTCGGTCGTCCGAAATGATTTATGGTTGGTCATCATCCTCAATATCTCTGTTTCGGTAGACCGAAGTAAAACCCTTCTCTGTTTCGGTCGTCCAAAATGAAATGAGATCTGTTGAGTGCCTTATTTTGGTAGGCCGAAATAAGTTGGCTTTGTGTTTCGGTCGACCGAAACACCTTCCTCCTTTATATGTCCATTTACTTTAAGTTTATAATGTAAATAAGGAAGTACCCCCCATTTGGATTCAATAAAAAATACTAGAAAATTGAAATCCAACTAAATCAAAATGTAGAAATTCAGTTTTAGTACAAATTTGGATTTCCGATAGTTTTGGTAAAATTGAATCCTTATGTAGACCAATGTAGACTTGGTCAAAAATTCTGATAAAATCAGTTTAGGTTAGTTTGAGTA